TATGGCCATGTTCTAGAGGCATTCTCTCCTGACGTTTCGCCTGCATCTATAGCAAGCATCCTCAGAGGTAGTGAAGATGCTTGCCATAGATGCAGGCAAAACGTCAGGAGAGAATGCCTCTAGAACATGGCCATATAGCCTGAAAAACCCTACAACAACCCAGTGTCTGCAAGGATGTTGCCCAGGGGACACATGGATGTTTTACCACCCTGTTGCAGGCTTCTTTCATATCCCCGCATGTGAAGCTGGAGCTGACAGATGGGAGCTGACCCCACTACCCAGATTTGAACTGCCAACCTTTTGGTCAGCGGTCCTGCCAGCACAAGGGTTTAACACTAGGCTCCTATTTATGCAGGCCAAAATCCCATTGGCTTTTTTAGCTGAAGCATGACATTGTTGGCCTGCCTGATGTCACCGGGAGAGAGTTCCACAGCCAAGGGGCCACCACTAAGAAGGCCCTGTCTCTCATCACAACCAATCACGCTTGTGAAGAGGTTGAGATGGAGAGCAGGGCCTCCCCAGCTGATCTTAAAGCTCTTATATGCTCATAGAAGGAGATGCGTTAGGACAGGTAAGTTGGACCAGAACTGTACAGGGCTTTATAGGCAAAGACCAGCACTTTGAATTGGGCTCGGTAGCAAACTGGCAGCCAGTGGAGTTGACGTAACAGAGGAGGAGTATGCTCCCTGTATGTTGCCCTTTCTTCCCCATAGACCCCATTTGCTGCAGTTCTTTTGCCTTACAGTAATCAAGTCCTCATTTCACAAAACCTTTATTTCCTACTGTTTGAGTCCAATGCTCAACCACTATTTCTACATTGGTGGCAAATTGCAACCCACAGATTTAAATACAAAGTATTATTATTTCCAGAGAAGGCAGGTAAGACTAAACCATTCCTCCCACAGACAAATTTCAGGTTATCAGAATTTCCCTAACATATTCAACTGTTCCTCACATCTATACTTATATTTATTTGTATTCTTATTTTTTTCCAGGATATACCAGAAGAATTTCAACTGAACGTGCATGTAAAAATGGAGGGGGCTATTGTACTGTCAGTTTTCCAAAGGGTTGTCAGTATCCTATGAGCCCAATTGGGAAATGTAGTACTTGGAAAGTTTGCTGCAAACAGTAAGTTTCTTTTTAAAATAATAATAATAATAATAATAATAATAATAACTTCATTTAAATAATAGATTTATACAATAGGTTCTTGTGGGTTTTTTCGGGCTATAGGGCCATGTTCTAGAGGCATTTCTCCTGACGTTTCGCCTGCATCTATGGCAAGCATCCTCAGAGGTAGTGAGGTCACTACCTCTGAGGATGCTTGCCATAGATGCAGGTGAAACGTCAGGAGAAATGCCTCTAGAACATGGCCCTATAGCCCGAAAAAACCCACAAGAACCTAGTGACTCCAGCCATGAAAGCCTTCGACAATAGATTTATACAATGTTTTCACAATACTTTTTTGAAAACACACACACACACATACATGTAGCAATAATAAAACATGGACAATACATTGAGATTTGAAAGGAAAATAAAAATAAATTACATAGGAAACTGAGTATATTTTGTCTGGAAAAAGGTCAAGAGGGAGCAAGATCATAGAAAAGGAGGCTTTCAGTCAGCTGCTCATTTCCAGACCAACTTCCAAAGAAAGAGCCTCCACCACAATAGTGTGGGCAACTTTATTAAATGTTACCAATCAATTTCTATGTGACCTGCCAACCAATTTTAAGGACATGAACTTGGTGTGTAAATAAACCGAGGCAGTGGTCATCAAAGACCAACTCCTCATCTATCAAGGGTGAGACACCAGGCTACAACAAACTAATGATTCCAGATTCCATCCACTCAGGGAAATGGATCATAGAATCATAGAATCATAAAATCATAGAGTTGGAAGAGACCTCATGGGCCATCCAGTCCAATCCCCTGCCAAGAAACAGGAATATTGCATTCAAAGCACCCCTGACAGATGGCCATCCAGCCTCTGTTTAAGAGCTGGGCATGCTTAGCCTGAAGAAGAGAAGGCTGAGAGGAGATATGATAGCCATGTATATATGTGAGAGGAAGCCACAGGGAGGAGGGAGCAAGCTTGTTTTCTGCTTCCTGGAGACTAGGATGCGGAACAATGGCTTCAAACTACAAGAGAGGAGATTCCATCTGAACATGAGGAAGAACTTCCTGACTGTGAGAGCCGTTCAGCAGTGGAACTCTCTGTCCCAGAGTGTGGTGGAGGCTCCTTCTTTGGAAGCTTTTAAACAGAGGCTGGATGGCCATCTGTCAGGGGTGATTTGAATGCAATATTCCTGCTTCTTGGCAGGGGGTTGGACTGGATGGCCCATGAGGTCTCTTCCAACTCTTTGATTCTATGATTCTATTATTTCCATACAGACATCACCACACTCCGGGGCAGAGAGTTCCACTGCTGAACGGCTCTCACAGTCAGGAAGTTCTTCCTCATGTTCAGATGGAATCTCCTCTCTTGTAGTTTGAAGCCATGGCTCCATTGCGTCCTAGTCTCCAGGGCAGCAGAAAACAAGCTTGCTCCCTCCTTCCTAGGACTTCCTCTCACATAGTTATACATGGCTATCATGTCTCCTCTCAGCCTTCTCTTCAGAAGGCTAAACATGCCCAGCTCTTTAAGCCGCTCTTCATAGGGCTTGTGTCTCAATTCCAGAGAATATTGAAACTGGAACTCTCCCTGCTCAAGGCAATTACTGTTTACCCTCATCTCGGTTCTTTTAACCACAGATGAGGGTTCCCGTTCATGGCCTACACCATGAAGGGGCGCCTTAAATGCACACCAGGATGTAAACCTATTTCTGTTTTCTCTCATGGTAGTCTATTTAAAGCCCACTCACCCAATTACCCCTAGACTGAACAGTGTAGGGTAGGCAAAAAAAGACAAACAACCCCTCTACCCTACACTGGGGGGTGGAATTTCTACCTGACCCCAGTGGCAACCCATAAAGTACACTTTTAAAGGGCAGAAGGGTGGGTCAAAGATGAAGCTGGAATGGAGAGCAGGGTGGAGAACATAACTACATTGGCCCTACCCCTTTCAAGTCCAGACCGAGACTACTTTACATGCTCTTCCTTCAGTGGAAGGGAGCAAAACACCCTCCTCCCCCTTATTGGGAGGGGGGGGGGAGAAGTAAATCTACATGAATAAAGATTTGTTTGTCGTGTCAGGACAACCAGTCAAATTATATTACATTTTTAACAGAGCAAAGCAAACAAACAAACAAAATACAAAATGTATGAGTTTGGTAGTTGATTAAATGTCCTTTGACCAGAATCTGGCCACTTGGAGTGCTTCTGGTGTTGCTGCAAGGAGGTCCTCAATGGTGCATGTGGCAGGGCTCAGGTTGCATTGCAGCAGGTGGTCAGTGGTTTGCTCTTCTCCACACTCACATGTCGAGGATTCCACTTTGTAGCCCCGTTTCTGAAGGTTGGCTCTGCATCTTGTGGTGCCAGAGTGCAGTCTGTTCAGCGCCTTCCAAGTCGCCCAGTCCTCTGTGTGCCCAGGAGGGAGTCTCTCATTTGGTATCAGCCATTGGTTGAGGTTCTGGGTTTCAGCCTGCCACTTTTGGACTCTTGCTTGCTGAGTTGTTCCAGCAAGTGTCTCTGTAGATCTTAGAAAACTATTTCTAGATTTAAGTCGTTGACATGCTGGCTGATACCCAAACAGGGGATGAGCTGGAGATGTCACTGCCTTGGTCCATGAAGCGACCAGCATGAATAAAGATGACTCTTGATTTCTTTTGCAGGTCAAGGGGTTAAACAACCGGATATTCCATTTCCGGAGAAGAAAAAGACAACTCCTGTTTTAATACAAATCTGTTCCTGCTTTATGGTCCACTTGGCCTCCAAAAATGCTCCCAAGAATCTTTTCAGAAAAATAGAAAGTTACCAAATCAGTTGCTTTTACACAATATAATAAAATTATGAATTTCATGATGATTTTTGTCTCTGTTAACTTATCATTGTCTTCAACTTGATCTCAGAATCTAGAGCCAGCAAGTTGATAACAGCTGTGAGAATAACCAAGCTAGATTCAAAAGGCAACAAATTGCAAATTCAATGTTTAGCTGGGTTGCACTGAACGTATTTCAGAGAGATCATGTCATGAGAACAGATTTACTGTTTACAGGGGATATGGGTGCTGAGAAAGGAGGAAACCAGGCCATGGAGTAAGGCAATCTGGCCAAAGAAATTTCTACAAGTCTTCCTTTAAATTTGGGGTAATTTCAGACTAGATTTAAAGCACTATTTTAATTACCATAGTAACATTCTATGGGCTCTTGGGTTTTATTTATTTATTTATTTATTTATTTCGAACATTTCTACCCCGCCCTTCTCAACCCCTAGGAGAACTCAGGGTGGCTTCCAATTGGCAACAATTCAATGCCGCATAATAAAATACAAAACAGCAATCTGGCTGCCATAACCTGAGCAACAATGAGCATGGGCTTTCCTGTCATTGGGGGAAGAAATCAAGGATTCAAGGAGCTAAGAGGATCCACCAGAATGTGGGAAGACTGGGTTCAGTACCTTGGACAGCCCCTTCTGTGTATGAACAAGCTCCCACTCCTCCTCTGAAAACAACCATGGCTGCATCGGAGGTCTCCTTAGTGGTAAGGGGAAAAAATTGAATCCCTGAAGGAGATCCCTGAGACATTCTTTTCTCTAGGAGAGAAGAATGGGAAGAGCAGTAGAATTTGAGTGACTATCAATTCCAGCTTTGAGCAGGAATTCCTTTTGTCCCAGACTTTGCTTCAACACCTAGTATAGGAAAGTGTCCCAGGACACTGCAGTCAAGTTTAGGTGAACCCTTCCAAATAAGCAATGAAAGCTAACCACATTTTCCACTTCCTCTTGTGTACTGATTTTTTCTTTATCAGGATATTTGCAAAACATATCAAATTTCTCAAGTCTTCAACGGCTGAACATGGTGTAATACCTTGAGTGGTAGAAAAGTAGAGGCTTACCACCTTCTGTTATTCTTGCTTTCTTTTATTCCCTGCAACAGAAGAAACACAGAGTGAAATATCCGCTGTTAATTTTTTCCATTCTATGACTATCTTGTATCTTCTCTTCTTTATTTGGGGCCCTTCCACACAGCCCTATATCCCAGAATATCAAAGCAGAAAACCCCTTATGCTGGCAGGACTCAAGACCGACAGGTTGGAGGTTTGAATCCGGGGAGAGCAAGGATGAGCTCCCTCTGTCAGCTCCAGCTCCTCATACAGCAGTGGTTCTCAACCTGGGGTCCCCAGATGTTTTTGGCCTTCAACTCCCAGAAATCCTAACATCTGGCAAACTGGCTGGGATTTCTGGGAGTTGTAGGCCAAAAACATCTGGGGACCCCAGGTTGAGAGCCACTGCCATATAGGGACATGACAAAGCCTCCCACAAGGATGGTAAAATATCAAAACATCCAGACATCCCCTGGGCAACATCTTTGAAGACAGCCAATTCTCTCACACAAGAAGTGACCTGCAGTTTCTAAAAAAAAAAAGGCAGAAAATCCCACATTATCTGAGTGTGGACTCTATCCAGACCTAGATTGAGGTGGTTGAAGTCTGTGACTAGTGCTGTACAATCCTTTCCTTCTTTTAGCTGTCTATCTTCAAAAGATTTCAACAGAGCATACATTCCATATTTTGAAAGAGATTCTTTGGTAAGTTATAATTTGTGAAAAACACAGCTCTTGGGTTGAGACAGGAATGTTTTTTGTATCAGGAGAAACTTGAGAAACTTGAGAAAGGAGATACGATAGCCATGTATAAATATGTGAGAGGAAGCCACAGGGAGGAGGGAGCAAGCTTGTTTTCTGCTTCCTTGGAGACTAGGACGCGGCACAATGGCTTCAAACTACAAGAGAGGAGATTCCATCTGAACATGAGGAAGAACTTCCTGACTGTGAGAGCCGTTCAGCAGTGGAACTCTCTGCCCCGGAGTGTGGTGGAGGCTCCTTCTTTGGAAGTTTTTAAAAAGAGGCTGGATGGCCATCTGTCAGGGGTGATTTGAATGCAATATTCCTGCTTCTTGGCAGAATGGGGTTGGACTGGATGGCCCATGAGGTCTCTTCCAACTCTTTGATTCTATGATTCTATGATTCTATGATTCTATGAAACTGCAAGTCCTTCTGGTGTGAGAGAATTGGCTGGGACATTGCCCAGGGGATGCCCGGATGTTTGATGTTTTGCCATCCTTGTGGGAGGCTTCTCTCATGTCCCCACATGGGGAGCTGGAGCTGACAGAGGGAGCTCATCCATGCTCTCTCCGGATTCAAACCTTTGACCTGTCAGTCTTCAGTCCTGTCAGCATGAGGGTTTAACCCACTGCACCACTGGGGGCTCCTGAGACAGGAAATGATGTTACCTAAGATATTTTCTAGCATTTCATAACTGTAGTCGCTTCCATCCTGTTCATCAAGATCTCTGGAATGCACATGAGAGAAATTTTCACATGATTGTTTTTCTTTGAAATGTTTTCAGGGCTCTTACCAAATCTCGGTAGTTTCCAGACTTGTGTTTCCTGAACAGCATAACCATCAGAAAACATTTTAAATGTTACTTTGAATTCTGCAGTTCCAATCGTGTCTAGGTTTTCTCTTTGCAAAATGCAAGCTAATAACAGCTGTAACAATACAGAAGAGATATTGCTTAGACAAATGCTGCTGAAATACTTCTTTCCCATAAAGAGCAATGATAACATTTCCTATTTCCTTATGGAAAAAATGCTTTGACTTCTGCATCTACAGAAATCCCCTTACCATTTTTGTACTGTTTTCTCTTCTGACACAGTCTCCAAATCCATTTTCAAAAGCCCTTGTGGTACATTTCTAAAGGTGTAGCTTTAAATCCAATACAATCCACCAATAATACATAATTTTCCCTAAATAAAATTAGATATGGCTGCCTGCAGATCTATATAAATAAAAATGTAATGTTTGTTTGTGGGATTAACATAACTCAAAAACCACTGGGTGAATTGCCGCCAATTTTGACCACAAGACACCTATTTATTTATTTATTTCGTGTACTTCTACCCCGCCCTTCTCAACCCCCTAGGGGGGACTCAGGGTGGCTTACAAAAGGCACAATTCGATGCCCAACAATTCACAAAATACAATATACAATTTACAATTTAACATCAACAGTTATTACTAGTTAAAACAATCAAATCAATACAATAACAGCAATAACATCATTTTGTGGTCAATGTTCGCTGATTTATAAATCCATAATCCATCCAGCATTGTTATTGTCCTTTCCTACTCTGGTCGTCATTGTCTTTGTCCATCTGCCAGCTTACTCCAAAGGCCTGGTCCCAAATCCAGGTTTTTAACTTCCTCCTGAAGGAGAGGAGGGATGTTGATGACCTAATTTCCCCAGGGAGCGCGTTCCACAGGCGAGGGGCCACCACCAAGAAGGCCCTGTCCCTCATCCCCACCAGTCTCACTAACCCAAGGAATGACCATCACTCAAAAAAAAAAGATTTTGTCATTTGGGAGTTATAGTTGCTGGGATTTATAATTCACCAACAATCAAAGAGCATTCTGAACTCAACAGTGCCAAGAAGTAGGAAAATTGCATTCAAAGCACCCGTGACAGATGGCCATCCAGCCTCTGCTTACAATCCTCCAAAGAAGGAACCCCCACCACACTAAAGAGCAGAGAGTTTTACTGCTGAACAGCTCTCACTGTCATGAAGTTCTTCCTAATGTTCAGGTGGAATCTTCTTTCCTGTAGTTTGAAGCCATTGCTCCATTGTGTCTTAGTCTCCAGGGCAGCAGAAAACAAGCCTGCTCCCCCTCCCTATGATTTCCCCTCACATACAGTATTTATACATGGCCCTCATCACATCTCCTCTCCGTCTTCTCTTCTGAGGGCTAAACATGCCAGTTCTTTATAGGGCTTGTTCTCCAGACCCTTGATCCCTTTAGTCAGCCTCCTCTGGACACATTCCAATTTGTCAACCTCTCCCTTCAATTGTGGTGCCCAGAATTGGACACAGTGTGATTCCAGGTGTGGTCTGACCAAGGCAGAATAGAGGGAGAGAATGACTTCCCTGGATTTAGACACTAGACTCCTATTTATGCAGGCCAAAATCCCATTGGCTTTTTTTAGCTGCTGCATCACATTGTTGGCTTATGTTTAACTTCTTGTCCATGAGGACTCCATGATCTTTTTCGCACGTACTGCTATCAAGCCAGCATCCTTCATTCTGTATCTCTGCGCTTCATTTTTTTTTCTGTCTAAAGACTTCATCACAGTAGAGAATGAATCCACTTTAAATCCGGTTGCTGCCTACTGCAGAAATCTGGAGTTTGTAGTTTAGTGAGGCTGTTAAAGTGGATTCATTCATTCTTTAGTGTGATGAAGTAGTACATGGAGTATCTTGCATTTGTCTCTGTTGCAGTACATTTTTTAGTTTTGGCTCATCTTTGTTAAGATTGTTTTGAATTCTGCTTCTGTCATCTGGAGTATTGACTATCCCTCCCAATTTGGTATCATCTACAAACTTGATGATCATGCCTTTTAACCCTCCATCTAAGTCATCTGAATATTTTAACCAGGGAACTACTTATGAAGTGTTTTGTATGTATCAGGGGATTTCCTTCCTTCCTAGGAGTGGCCCATAGGAGCAGTAAAAGTGGACTCAAAATGCTATCATTATGAAGTGTGAAAAGGCCTCAGGCTAGCTCAAAAAAAAAAGGATTAACATATGTTCACATTTCCATCATTCTGTTTTTTGGTTTTTTTGTCATGTCAGGAGAGACTTGAGAAAAACTGCAAGTCACTTCTGGTGTGAGAGAATTGGCCGTCTGCAAGGATGTTGCCCAGGGGATGCCTGGATGATTTGATGTTAATCATTCTGTTGAAATGTCAAGAACAGCCTCGGGGTGAAGATTGAATCCCCAAAATTTCATAATATTTCACATTTTTTTGAAAGACAACAATGTGTCACAATCCCTAGGGTAGTATAAAATCTGTCTCTGATCAGCCTTGGTACCGTTGATTGTAAGGACAGAAAGAGATCCTTGTGGAACACCTGCCTTGCTTTCCTAAACTATGAAGACCTTTCACCTTTTCCTTCTTGTCTTTGCTTTGCTGCTCCTTCCAGATCCAGGTAAATAATTAATTCACATCTAAATAAAATAAGGAGCAGAGTTCATTTCAGCTCTTGGATTCCCATTATATAATTGGGCTGCTGTGAATTTTTTGAGTTGTATGACCATGTTCCAGCAGCATTCTCTCCTAAGTTTAGCGTGCATTTGTGGCAGGTATCCTCAAAGGTTCTGCTGGCAGTGAGGCAAGTGGAGTGTGTATATATACCTTGTGGAATGTACAGGGTGGGAGAAAGAACTCTTGACGGTTGCTTTAAACAGATAGATAGATAGATAGATAGATAGATAGATAGATAGATAGATAGATAGATAGATAGAGACAGATAGATAGACAGACAGACAGACAGCTGCGCCCGTACCTTGGGAAGTCGGATCTGGCCACAGTGGTCCACACTCTTATTACATCCTGAATAGATTACTGCAATGCACTGTACATGGGGTTGCCTTTGAAGACTGTTCGGAAACTTCAATTAGTCCAGCGGGAGGCAGCCAGATTACTTACTGGAGTGTCATACAGGGAGCATACCACCCCTCTGTTATGTCAGCTCCACTGGCTGCCGATCCAGTTCCGAGCACAATTCAAAGTGTAGGTTTTTTTTTTAAATTATTTTTTATTGTGCATATTTTCTTATTGCATAAATAAAAGAACAATAAACAATGAAACAATGAAACGATAAGAAGAAAAGACATACAAACAGATAGAACACATCCCCCCCACCACCACCCCCCCTCCCCGTGCTGTGACTTCCCATCATCTTCAAAGAGTTCAATATTGTAATTGGTGATATATCTACAGTTCTGCGATTACCGGCGTTTCTTCGATACTTGGGGTTCCTTCAAATGCTGGATATGTCTATCATAAGTGTCATCTTCCTTTTGGCTGTAATAAAGTCTTTGAAACCCTCCCAATTTGTCTTTTTTGACGAGTTGTTCAGGCGTTGTGATAAGCTGTCCATCTGTATTATATCAAATATTTTTAGGATCCAATCCTCAATTGTTGGAATGTCTTTTTGTTTCCATATTTTGGCTAGAGTTATCCTAGCAGCTGTACTTAACAGAAAAAAATATCCTATCTTGATTCACATTAAATTTGTGATAGGAAATGCCCAGGAGATACATTTCAGGTGATGATGGAAAATTGACTTTTAGGATTTTTTGTATTGCTAAATGTATTTCTCTCCAATATTTCTTAATTTTTTTACAGGTCCACCATTGGTGGAAGTACGTCCCTGTTTCATTTTGACATTTCCAGCATTTATTTGAAATAGATCTGTTAAATTTGGAGATTTTTTCTGGATAATAGTGCCATCTATAGAACATTTTATACCAATTCTCGATCAAATCGTTGGCAACTGTATATTTTAATTTCCTATTCCAAATGTCTTCCCATTGTTTCAATAAAATACTATGTCCTATATCTTTTGCCCATTTAATCTGGCAGTCTTTGATTTGTTCTTCTTCCGTTTCCCAGCATAAAAGTTGTTTATATAGCAATTTAATTAGGTTCCTTTCTTTTTGCATAATTACTTCCCAAATTCCTTTTTCCTGACAGAAGCCCAGCTTTCCATCTATTCTAAAGCTCTCATGCAGTTGATGATATTGTAGCCATGTGAAGTTGGGTTTTATTTGCTTTATTTCCTCTATTGATTTGATGGTTAATTTTCTCTCTTCTGTTGTTTTTAGAATTTGTTTGTATGTTAGCCAATTTTCAGATCCCAATTCCCTTTTGTGTCTTGCCTCTATCGGAGAGATCCAGATTGGTATTTTGTTATATAACCTTGGTTTGTGTTTATACCCGTGCCACCCAAACCTAAGGTCAAACTCCTCCAAAGCTAGTAATTCTTGATTTTTTAGTGTGGCCCATTCCTTAAAACCTACTAAGTTACATGCCTCGTAGTATGCTTTAAAGTTTGGTAATCCCAGACCGCCTCTTTTTTTCTCGTCAGTCAAAATTTTGTAATTGACTCTGGCTTTCTTATTCTTCCATATGAATTTAATTATATCTGAGTTCCACTTTTTGAAAAGATGGTCGTTTCTTATAACTGGTAGTGTTTGAAATAAGAAGAGTAGTTTGGGTAGTATATTCATTTTTACTGTGGCAGTTCTTCCTAGCATGGAAATATTTTGATGTTTCCATCTGTCTATATCCTTTTTAATGGATTTCCACAGGGTTTCGTAGTTGTTCTTTAGTAAATTGATATTGTTTGGAGTTATAGTCACCCCCAGGTATTTTATTTTATTTTCAATTTTTAGGCCTGATTTTTCTTGCAATAATTCTTTGGATTTTTTATCCATGTTTTTCACTAACATTTTGGTTTTTTGTTTGTTAAGTTTAAAACCGGCCACATTTCCGAATGTTTCAAATTTCTTTATCCAATTGTTTATATATTTTAGGGGATCTTCCACAATACAGACCACATCGTCGGCGTAAACTTTTAGTTTGAATTGGTATTTTTGGATTTTCATTCCTCTTAAATTTGGGTCCTCATTTATATTTTTGATCATT